AGAAAATTTTAATTTTCATTATATTTTATTAATAAATTTAGTCTCTAAGTTATTATTTTTGATTACTACTATAACTAGATTTTGATAAGTTTAAAATTAATTATTTTAAAAGAAATTAATAATATTTTTATAAATTATTTAATTTTTTAAAAAATTTTTAATATAAAATTAAGATTTAAATATTAAAAATCTTTATTATTTTTATAAATATTAAGTTTTATTTAATTTAACTATACTTAATCTTTTTATAATTTTAATAATATAATTTAAATAATTTATTATTATTTTGTAATATAATTTTTTAATTAATTTAAAATTATTATTATACTTAAATTTAATATTATAAAATTTAATTTGATATTTTTATATAATTATAAATTATTAAATATAAATAAAATTAAATAATAATATTATTTTATTCTGATTATTAATAATAATTTTTAAATATTTTTCATTTTTATTTAATTTTTTTATTTTTTTAAATATTATATTTAATATATTATTAGAATTTTTTTCTATAATTAATTTATATATATATATTAAATCTCTCTATAATTATATTTTCTTATAGTTATCTTTTTTTATAATTATTATTTTTGTATTTTTTAATTATTAATTAATTATAATTAAAAAAATCTTTTTATAATTATATTTCTTTTTAGTCATCTAATTTTACTTTTTTTAAATATAATAATTATAAAAAGATTTAATTATATTAACTTTATTTTAAATTTAAATAAATATATTTTTATATAGATTAAGATATTAAATTTTAATTACTTATTAATTAGAATATAAATTATAAATATTTTATATTTTAATTATAATTATAATAAATAATAATATTAATATTATAATAATTAACTTTATCTTTTATTATAAAATATTTATCTATTAATTTTCTTTTTTTTTCTATTAATTTTATATTTTTATAATAATAATTTCTTTCTAATTTAGTTTTAATCAAATATTTTTTAATAACTTTCTTTTTTATAAGTATTATATAATAAATTAGTTTAAAAATTTAATATATATCATATAAATTTATTCTTAGATTCATAATTTAAATATAAGATATTAATTAGTATTATAATTTATAAAATATATCATATTTTAATAATTTTAATATATTATTATTTTTGATATCTGTAATAAAATCATAATAAATCAATTTATAACTTATTTTAACTAATAAAAGTATAAGTAATTGAGTAATGTGATTAATATTTCTATTAAGACTTGATAATTTATAAATTTTAATATAATTTCAAGAAAATTTTTCATAAATATAATAATAGTTATATTAATAATTATTTTAATTTTTCATTATAATATTTTTTATATTATAATATTATATCATATATTATTAGATAATTTTTAATATTTTTCAAATAAGTATAATTAATTTCTAATATATTAAGATATATTTTTTAATAAAATAATATATTATAATCTCAATATTAAAAAGTTCTCTTTTTTAAAATATTAACTAATAGTTATTTTTTTTATTTATTATTTTTAATTAAATTATTAAGAATATATCTTGTTTAAATTAAGAGAGAGCTTGAAATATTTTACATAATTTAATAAACTTTATTCTTGAAATCATTTTTGAATAATTATAATTATAATTATAATTTATCTTTAAAAAATATACTACTTTTTTATATTTAATTAAATTATTATTTTTATTATTTTTCATATACAAATAATTTTATTTATAAAATTTTATTAACTTTATATATAGTAATATATAGTAATATTCAATAATGAAATTTACTTTATGAAATGCTATTATTAATCATTAAAAGTAATAATAAGTAAATCTTTAAATAATATAATTTGATACTTTTATACAAGTTTATTATTATTATGATTAGCTTTTTTAATTATACATTATTTTATAAACATCTCGTATTGCTTTTAAGCATCAATAGCAATTGGTCTTGGTTTTGCTTCCTGTATCCATCTGCCTATTTTCATAATATCAGCTGACACTCCAAATGTCAACTTCTCCTTTATAATCATCCTTAAACACTTCAGGTGCACGAGTAGGCATACTGGAAGCATCTTCCCAGTCAATTAATATCCATTGTGATCCATGTAGTTGTATTATATTTGGCCATCTTATATCTCTATGAAAGATAGGTGTCTCAGCTTCATGCATAACCTATATTAAACAATATGAAACGAGATACTAATTATAGAAATATTTGTTGAAAGTTTCACAAATACTTACAGTCAGTGCTTCAAGGACACATAATAGCATCCAGCAGCTCCTTTTTGATATTTGGCCTAAAACTCATTCCTTTTGGGTGCAAGATATGCTACACATCCATGATCATTGTCTGTATAGGAAAGAATTAGATCATCAACGTTTGGCACATGTTCACTTCTGAGTATATTATAGATGTTCCGTAGTTTTTGGATACGCTGTTCACCATCTGGACCATGGTAAGTCTTTTTAATGCTTGTGCCAGTTATACAAATTGTTTTACTTTCCCTGCAAGAAATATAAAGCTGTTAGACCAGAATATAAAGCTTGTCATAACAAATTTCTCAACACACCTCTCAATAGGACGAACTCCGCAGTTTCACGCCATCCTATTACATCATTAATCGGCTCAATGATAGAGCATAAATTTATGAGTATTCGCAAATTACGGATACGTTCCTTCCTCAGACTCAAGTCAACAGTTCCAATGGTGATAATATCTGGCTTATAATTTCCAGATCGTGGCCGGCAAAGAGCAACATAGGTTACTGATGGTCCAATAGCATAGTAGCCTGCAAAAGAAGAAGACGACACTTATTAACCTATCAAACGACCCCCATATATCCAGAATATAAACTACAGACTTACCCAAAACGTATGGAGCCGGATCATAGATCCATTGAATTTTCTCTACGAGCTCAGCCCACACCTCTTCTCTGCTATTGGGAGTCTTCTCCTCCCCTCTAAATAGGCACACTTGGTTGAGAATGAATCCAAAGTTTGAATGCATGTTATTGGTGCTCATGTGCTGATTTGTATTTCGAACAGAACGACCAATCGGAAAGAAAGTTTCAAGAAATCTTCGGATGTTGATGTCCCAAAACGTGACAAATGTTCCATCGGGTGCAGGTGAGGGTGTCATAATAGCAGAGCCAAGCACACCAGTGATGAAAGTATAAGCACTCTCAGTGTCGCAGGTCTTCAGCCGTGCATGGATCTTGATAACCAGATATGAGGAAAGTATCAAACTCATACCTAAGAAGGGGAATCTTTATGTCATCTGTGAGAGATTGTTCGAATGTAGCAAGTTCATCAGGATCCGGGAGCGATGGCTTAGCCCTTTTCCTTAATCTATCAAGGACCTGTGCACTAGTATCAACTATAATTCGTTTGCAGGAAGCAAGGTTAGAATTAGGTAATAGCAACTGATAATCACTCCTCTGTAACTTACCTTTTTCATAAGGACGTTTATTTGCTGAAGCGAGTTGAAGCAGTTTGAAAGGGAAAGTACAAGTTAGTCAACATGCTATAGTAACATTCTCTCAATAAACCCACATAACCTCACCCCATAACTGAATTTACACTATAAGAAAACAATTACTCTGTCTACTCTACCCTATGTACACACTACTCTATGTCCCCAACGCCCGAGTCACAAAGTCGTTACCTGGCTGAGTATCCAGCTCGCGAAGCTTCTTTCCCCATTCGCCCACTTGCTTGTCCCAATAGTCCCTTCTCTCCTCAAGCCTCTTCTTCTCCTCTTCTAGTTTCTCCTTCTCTTCCTTCCACTCTGCCCGCTGTGCCGCAGTCCCCTCTCCATTCACCAGCCTTCTCCTCAACGTCTTAAGCAGCAGTCCCTCGTCCTCCCCCTCTTCGAACGTCTTCAGCGCTGTCTCTGCCTTCGCCAACGCTTGCCTCACTTCTTCGATTGTCGCCATTTCTTTTTTTCGTCAAGTTTGAGACGGGAAGATGTGCTGCGCGATGTGATCTAATACCGTAATATATACTAACACTGATCAGTGGCATTATTAGGAACTTTCTGGACCTGCAATGATAATTGATGCGCAGAAATTCGCGAATGTCGATTACACGTTTAGTTAGAATATCGTGACTCGAAAAAGTTTGCTATAAAAAACGACAGAACTGAGCTATTTTACGAAAAAGCTTCGCAAACTGTTTTGCAAAAATCTATCCAACAGACTTTATCATTTTAAAATGTTTGCTCTTGGATTATTGATTGGAATTATCCTTGGATATTCTCTTTATTATAAAATCAACTGCGTATTATAAATCAGAAAATTGAAGAAGTAATTTAATGGAACCAAAGAAAAAATCTAAAACTAGCAAACAAATTGGTCAATGTGACTATCCACCAGAAATCAAAAACTTGTGAAAGAACTTTAAAATCTTATTTGATAAAAGGCATGAGTTGAACTTAAATTTTTCATTTCACAAAATGATTATTGAAATTAATGAATTACTTGATAAAAGGAAATGATCTATTATTATTTACGAAAAATAACTTTAATTGAGATAATTTAACTTTTAACTTTGAATTAATGAAAAACAAAAGAAAAATGTAAATTATAAAGATGATGAAATAATAAATAATAGTGATTATGTTATTAATAATAGTAATAGTAAAGGAAATGAAATTTAAATTTATATTAGAATGATCAAATAGGTTATACTTATTAATAGTTTGAATCTGAGTATTTTTCTCCTATATAATCATTCTGATATTGTTATTTCAAGAGCATGAATTTAGATTATTAATATTTTTAATTAGATATTTCTTTTAATAATTCTTTATATTTTTACTTATTCTTT